ACTATGACAACGAAAGAGTTGTTCGGTGGCTTTCCCGGCTCACGCAGTATGACTTCACCGTCAAGTATATTAAGGGCATCACCAACGTGGTCGCCGACGCACTTTCCAGACGCCCTACAGGTCAGGCAGACTGTTCTGCAACCGCACTTCTTTGTGATGATTCTCGCTTTCTTTCCAAATTGCGTTCCTCTTATTCCTTAGATACTCATGCGGCTGCAGTCCTAGCTAAGCTCAACCACGGGCGACGGGTCAAGCACTACAGCACCGAAGGTGATCTCCTGTGGTATCACACGAAGCGTGGTGTTCGTCGATTGTACGTTCCGGCCTCGCTTCGCACGGAACGTTTACGGAAAATGCATGAGCATGCCTTGGCAGGTCTTGGTGGGGTTAATAGAACGGTGGAGCGCGTCGCCAGGTCCTTCTGGTGGCCTAGGATGCGCCCCTCGATCGAGGAATATGTCCTCTCATGTCCGGACTGCCAGCAGCAAAGGCCGCGAAACACGCTCAAACCCGGATTCCTGCACAGCCTGCCTATTCCCGATAGGATCTGGACGGATATCTCCGTGGATTTCATAGTGGGCTTACCACCCGTCAGAGGCCATGATAGTATATATGTCGTGGTGGATCGTCTCAGCAAGTACGCTCACTTTATTCCCTGCTCGAGCACGGTCACAGCGGAAGGAGTGGCCCAACTATTCATCAATCATGTGTGGAAGCTCCATGGCCTCCCAAAAAGCATCATTACCGACAGGGATCCGAAGTTCGTTAGCGCCATCTGGCGCAGCCTCATGCAACAGCTCGGCATTGACCACAACATGACCACCGCCAACCATCAGGAGGCCGACGGCCAGACCGAACGGAATAACCCCACGCTGGTGCAGTCTTTGCGGCTTTACACCCAACAGAACACATCTAGCTGGCTTGACTTTCTTGCTTGTGCAGAATGGGTTTATAACACTACTGTGCATTCTTCCACACGCTGCTCCCCGGCGTCCCTTGTCTACACCGAAACTCCACTCGCCGATCCGCCGCTCGACCTAGCGGTTGGAAGCCAGCTCCGGCCGACTGTGGCTTCCGACTTCGGCACACAGCTTGCAGCAGCGAGGGAATGCATGCGCAAAGCACAGGAACGTCAGGCCAGAAACTATGATAAACGACGTTCCGCAGTCAGTTTCAACCCGGGCGACTTGGTTCTGGTGGATTCGCACGCCCTCCGTAGCACGCAGGAGGGCGAGCAACCCAAAACGTTG